TTGGGTTCCCTATCACCAGCTTCCTTGTCCCCTTCTGCCTTCTGGCCCTTGTCACTGGACTCCTGTACCTCTTTAGTCTCATTTGGTTTTACGGGGTCTACTGACCTTTTTATAACTCCTTCTGTGTCAACAATGGGCAGCAAGTATGCCAACTTACAGGCTAGAGGAATGAGTGAGGGCACCAATGTCATGGTGGGCAGGGGCAGATTATCCAATAAGCAAAGTAAACACAGTGCTTATCTTGCTTACCAGATCATCTGTAGTGAACAATTTCACATCTTTGATGTGGTGAAACCCATCTGAAATTGCTGGATGTGTTTGCCTTGCTTACTAGCTCATCCGCCTCTGTCAGGGATTGTAAATTTGAAAAGAAGCTTTGATTCTGTAGGAAGGTGCTGTGAGGTTGGGAGAGAGACAGATGCCAGTCACACCTAGAAGCAGAATCTTTGACGTGGTGATGGTGGGGATAAGACAGAGCCCTCAAGTAGCTAGAGATTTCCAAGAAAACTGGGAGCCTCACAAACTCAGAAGAGAAGTTCCAGGCACAGCCCGTCAGCATCTCCTCTACAGTCACCACAAGACAAGTTCTTCTAATTAGAAGTCCACTGAAGACAAATGAACTGGGAGTCTCAAACAAAAAAACAAGCAGAAAACCAAAGAGAATTAAACAATGAAGAAAATTAACCCCATGAAAGAGAAGCATCAAAACAAACAGACAAAATAAGTACTGGAAGAAAAGGAATTAATAGAGCAAAAAGACTTAAAAATAAGCAAAGTTCACATTTCAAAGACAGTTGATATGAGATCTCACTGATGAAAAGAAAAAAACCTTAGATCTTAGGGAAGAAAAAATTGTCACAGTAAATCTCTTCGTGAGATGGACTGAATATGAATAGCAGAATGAACACAGCTGAAGAACACACTCAACAAGCTAGGAGAGTAGAACAGAAAGACAAAAATAGGAAAACTAAGTACAAAAAGAAAATTGCAGCATGTAGGCTAGATCCACAGATTCCAACTTTTGTGTGTTTGGAGTATCTGAAGGCAGGAATGGAGAAAATGAAGAGAAGAAAGTGATTAAATAAATAATATACACAATTTTCTCTAGCTGAAGGAGTCTTTGAATTTAGATTTAAGATGAATGCCAGGAAGAATTAAAAAAAAAAAAAAGGAAAAATCCATACCTAGAGCATAATGTTTGACACAAAGAGAAATTTCTAGAATCTTCTTCTGGGGAGCGGGTGGGACACAGATATGTTATTTTCATCAAGAGCACTGGGTATTAACCTCTAGAGAAAAGATGAATTTGAACCTTCTATATTCAGCCCCTCCATTAGCATAGTGGGGGAAAAAAAAGGACAGTTTTAGATATTAGATTTCTCAGAAATTTTACCGCCTGCGGATACTCTGACCTCCTTTTAAATACTTACAAGAGAATGCATTCCAGCAGTAAAAATTTATCAGAGAGGAAGGCATGAGACATCAAAAACCGTGATAAAGAAAGCCACCAGTACAAGTCAGAGTTAAGTCTAAATAATTGTTACTGCGCAACACATTTTTTTAAATTATCATTTTGAATTAATTCATCTAGAGCATATCGGGGGTTGGGTTTTGCATAGATTGATCCCATGTTGGGAGAACTTCAGGTAACTTAAGTTTGGTTGTATCATTCCCTGGATTCACATGCTTTCAAGGCACCTAGCCTCTTGAACCTACAGCCGTATTAGGACATGTAAAATATAATTTGTTTTACAAGGAGTGTACAAAAAGTAGATGTAAATGCAACACCTCAAAGTAACAAAAACTTTGACTCCAAAGAAAATGTTTTACTATACTCAAGCGCTAACAGTGCCACCCTCTGGGTTGTTCATTGCACACACGCTTTGCAGTTGTAGGTAATGGGATGGCCATTCTCTTTGCAGATACTTAGGGTCAATCCTGCTGGGCAGGGATTAATGTGGGCACTAGAGTGTCCAACATACCAAACGTGGTATGTTTGGGATTACAAACATGTATACAACACCATTCCCCCATTCCCCACTTTGAAGGAGCTTACAGACCATAAGGCTATTTTTTATCTGAGAGAAAGATAAACTTCTATCTTACTTATGTCACTATATTTTGTTTCATTTTTTTTTTTTTTAACTGCAGCTAAGCCTATACCCTAACTAATACACTACCTTATTTTGTGAATTACTTAAGATTATATAGCACATTTAATGGCACATTTTATTATTAAATAGTAGCTGTTTTTCTTAAAATTGCAAATGCAGCACTATTTCAAAATAAAAGGCTAACTCCTTTTGCCTTGACTCCTCTTTGGAATTAGTGGGATGTGATAATATTCTTCTTTACTTGGTAAAGTGGTGATTTGACTTACATGTGCTAGATAAGACTTACTGGGAAAACTGTGAATCTAAAAATTATAGACATAAATAGAAATAAATGTTCTAAATATTTAGAATGTGTCCACAATTCTATTTAAGATATACATATACTGTCTTAGTTATCTAGTGCTGCTGTAACAGAAATACTACAAGTGTTACAGCAGTGCTAGATAACTTTATCAAACAGAAGTTTATTCTCTCACAGTTTAGGAGGCTAGAAGTCCAAATTCAGGGTGCCAGCTCCAGGGAAAGGCTTTCTGTCTCTGTCAGCTCTAGGGGAAGGTCCTTGTCCTCAGTCTTCCCCTGGGTCTAGGAGCTTCTCAGTGCAGGGACCCTGAGTCCAAAGGGTGTGCTCCGCTCCTGGCTCTTCTTGCTTGGTGGTAATGAGGTCCCTCTCTTCTCTGCTTGATTTTCTCTTTTATATCTCAGAAGAGACTGACCCAAGATACAACCTAATCCTGCAGATTGAGTCCTGCCTCATAAACATAACTTCCTCTAATCCTGCCTCATTAACATCACAGAGGTAGATTTATAACACATAGGAAAATCACATCGGATCACAAAATGGTGGACAACCACACAATACTGGGAATCATGGCCTATCCAAGTTGATACACATTTTGGGGGGACACAATTCAATCTATAACACTAACACTTAACAGAATTTTTTTACAAAATGATACTTGGAGAAAGTACTCCAAAGAACACCTGGGTGAAAGCTTACCTTCAGTTTGCTTTTCAATCCAAGAGTTGATCTTCTTTCTGCTTTGGTCAGGAGTTTTCATGAACTTAACAGACTGTGGCTCTGCACCAAAGTATTTTTTTATGTCTTCTAGATATTTCTGAAAGATATAGGTAAAATCCCCTTTTGTAGAGTTTACTCCAAGTTGAGAAATCAAGTCTATTTAGACTATCAAAAGAACTAGGTAGACGGTCAATTGCAAACTCTCGCCCCATCACTGCCCTCCCTCTCCCCTCACCCCCCTTTTGGGTCAAGAACTAAACACCCTCCTCTTCAAACTTAGAAGGGTCCTGACTAGCCATGCAGAACCCCAGGTGTGGGAAGGGTGTCTGCTGCCTGTGGTTCTGGACCTTCCTCATCCTTTTTTCTATTTTGATTTATGCCCAGGAAATGGGGCTGGAATTGAAAGAAGAGCAATCTACAAATCCCCAGGAGGAATCCCAATGGGCAACAGGTCTTGGGAGTTGTAGTTAATTTCTGTGGCAGGGATGGAACTCAAGTGAGGCTCCTGGGCCCTGCAGCTGCCGCTGTGGGCTCTAAACAGCCAAGAACCTTGTGGGAGACCCCTGAGGAAAACTTTATGTTGACAGGAAAATGGACTTCTGAGCATGGTCAGAGATTTCCTCAGGCATTCCAGAGGGGCTGACCCACTTCGGAGCCTGAGGAAACAGACAGGATGACTTTTCTGAGGAAGAAGGTTAGGCTTCTCCTTCCAGCTCCTGGGTGTGCACCCTGGTGGCAGTCACCACATGCTGGCTGTAAACGGGATTGCTGGTTATAAAGGCACCTGCCCTGGGAACATAATGTATTCTTCAGGATGACTGTGGCACGCCTTCAGTTTGCTGACTTTACTAGGTGGGACTTGGAAGCAGTAAAAAGTGGTGAGCTAATTCAGCCTCCAGGCAGTAGTACAAAGATTACAAAGTCCAAGTTCTGTGGAATTTGTAATTTAGTAAAAATAAAGCTTAAAGATCCACAAGGCACCACTCCCTTTCTTCACTTATGGGTTCTGACCAAGCGCCCGTGGTGCAGTGGGTAAGCACTTGGCTGCTAATCAAAAAGTCTGCAGTTTGAACGCATCAGCCTCAGAAGAAAGACTTGGCGATCTGTTTCCAAAAGGTCACAGCCTTGAAAACCATATGGCACACTGGGCTACTCAACACATTGGGCTGGAAGCAACTCAACACCAAGTGGTTTTGTTGTTGTTGTTGTTGATTTACTCTGTATTTTTTGCTCGCTGTTTCCTGTGAAACAAACATTGGTCCAGACGTTATATAGATTGCATTTCTATATGTGTTTAAGCACCATTCCTGGAATCTACCCTTTTATTCTGGACATAAAGATCTGATCACTAGATCCAGTTTGAGATCCATTATTGGTTTCCTTTACAACTAGATGCTTATTGGTTGCTTTAAATGATTGTTTACCAGAAAGTAATAGCACGTGAAGACTGTGCCTGGGATTCTTAGAGAAATGTACAAAAAGTTTGTTGGTTAATCTCACATGGCCCTTTATTTTCCATCAGCTTAAAATAGAGCACTTGCACTTACCTTGTGAAATGGATGACTTTCCTCCCCATATAACCCATTGGCTGTCTTGAGGATGTAAGCATTGCTGGGCTTGTTGATTTCTGAGATAAGTGTCTGGAAATCAGAGCATATTTCTTCAATTTTGCCCAAGTTGAATTCCTTTAAAAGAAAAGGGATTAGTCAAATAAAAACGTTGAACAAGAGCTCTACATATCTCAAAAATCTATAGATAAATGAAATGATTTGGTATATTGTAAACAAAAGCTGAAAAACAATTTTAAGGTAGATAAAAATATTTTCTTTAATGTTACCAGTGCAAAAAATTCAAAGTTGTTAGAGTGCTGTACTCTTCACATTTAGTTTACAAAGACAGGCAAGAACACTTTTAAAGGTAGAGCAATTCTGACAGGGAAAAAAAGGGGTGGAGGAAGTAAGGGAAAAGAATATGACCTTTCAAAAAACTGTACACATTTTGTATTCTGAAAAGTGTTTCTATAATTTTTACATATCTTCTTCTAAGAAAAGTTACCACTAAAGGTTGTTTAAATTGGCCACTAAAATACAAATTCTATACGCGCTTTCTCCTTAATCATCTGATGACTTAGTTATTTGGAGAGTAAAAGATAAGATATACCATTTTCCTTTTCTTTTCACTTTCAGGACAAGATTTGATGTCCTGGTCTTGGTTTAATTGAAGCACCTGTAATGGCAGTAAAAAGACAATACGTGAGTGCACTTTGAAGAGAGGTAATCATATGAGATACACACCAAGAAATACAAGATAGTCATTTCTACAGCTACCAAACATGTAATAAATTAACCATGGTGGTTCTGATTTTACCTAAATGGTGTGTTAGCTGAACTAATAGAGTAAGTCACTAGCTTCTTTTAAATAAATAAAGCTTAACTTAGGGCATCGTGGTGTAGTAGTTAAGAGCTAGGGCTGCTAACCAAAACGTCTGCAGTTCAAATCCACCAGCTGCTCCTTGGAAACCCCATGGGGCAGTTCTACTCTGTCCTTATAGGCTCTCTCTGAGTCATACTGGATGGCAACGGGTTTGGTTTTTTTTTTTAATTTACAAGGAGCCCTGGTGGCGCAGTGGTTAAGCGCTCAGCTGCTAACCAAAAGGTCAGCTGTTGGAACCCACAAGCCGCTCCCCGGGGAAAGATATGGCAGTCTGCTCCCATAAAGATTATACTTAGAAATTTTAAGGGGCAGTTCTACTCTGTCCTACAGGGCCTATGAGTTAGAATCAGCTCAATGGCCATGGGTATGGGTAGTCCCTTTATTTTAATATTTTTTATAAGACATTTAGGATGGTGTTGGGAAAATTCTCTTATTTTCCATGTTTCACTTTTATCTGTGGCTATTTTGAAAAGAAGACTAGATGTTCAATTGAGACCACTATTTGGATAATTTAAGCAAAAGCCACCATTGCCTCAGGGATCTTAGTTGTGCTTTCTCTAGATAAGTGCTTCAGTTCTCATCTTCTACCACCACTTGACATAGGTTGCCACAATCTTTGTCTCCAGCCCAGTCATTCATTTGAAAGTTAACAGGATGGATGTGGACAATCCTTGTTTCCCCTGAACTGTACAAAAGTAGAACAGAAGGCAATGTTTCCATCTTCCACATCCTGGACCCAGCTCACAATAAGGAGTAAAGTCTATTTTACCAAAAGTTGTGCTGATCCATGGTGACAGAACAGGGGCCATCTGCCATAGTTAAAGGGGTTCATAGTCAACACATTGGGCTTATTTGCAAATTGAAGCTGTTACTTATTTAAATAATATTTAAATAAAACATGAGCAAGCAATGTAAGTTTATATGAAATGGACTCAAATTGCAATCGAAGATCAAGTCTTTCACATTGATGGTGAAGCCTTTCGACTTAATTGACCAGGATTAACTAGCTGTGAAGCACGATTTTGTTGTTGTTGTTGCTTTTAAGCCGCACAATATCCTGTGAACTACAAGAATAAGGGTGACATCCTAGTCTCAAACTGACAGAATATATATTCTTCCTGTGTCGCTCAGAATTGCTGGTTGTGTCCTTTTCTTTAATTGTCACAGAGGGCACGACCATGTGGGATATTAAAAATATTATGTCTCCTTCCCTTTTGATTGTTGTGTGATTTGGGGCTGGATTCACTCTTTACTGTTTTTATTTATTTTAATTAAACACACACACACACACATACATATATACATATGTATATGTGTAGGAGTCCCTGGATGGCTCAAACAGTTAAGTGCTCAACTATTAGCTGAAAGGTTGAAGGTTCGAAAGTACCCAGAAGTGCCTCAGGAGACAGGCCTAGTGATCTGCTTCTGAAAGGTCACAGCCTTGACAACCCTATGGAACAGTTCTGCTCTGCTCACATGGGGTTACCATGTGTCAGAACTGACTTGATGCCAACCACCATATATGTATATCCAAAACCAAAAACCAAACACGTTGCTGTCAAGTCAATTCTGAGTGGTGGCGACTCTACAGGACAGAGTAGAACTGCCCCATAGGGTTTCCAACGCTGTAATCTTTACGGAAGCAGATGCCCACATCTTTCTACCACAGAAGAGCTGGTGGGTTCAAGCCACTGAACTTTTGGTCAGCAGCCAAACGTTTAACGACTGCGCCACCAGTGTGTTTACACACATATATACCTATATCTATAGCTATTTTGCTATCTATGTCTATATATAAAATGTTTATAACACTATGCTTTGAGGGATACTTGTAGCAAATCTGTAGTTCCTTATACAATAACGTTGTTTTGCTATTTTAATGTTATCTCTTTGTGGGCTCTTTAACAGTATTAGTCAGCATCTTTCTAATCTCACAAAGATTTTCTTGAAAATCCAAAGAAGAAAAATCAAGTGAATTCTGTTCCTCCTGCTTTGTTTGGTTGTTTCTTTGTTTAATTTATGTATGATGTCTGAATTTAAGTTTGACCCCTTAGTTTTTGAAAATTTTAATAATCAAAATGAAACGTTCTTGGTGTTTAACCAAAATGGATTAACTCATCGTTTCTCCATTTTGTTTTGCTAGAGCACATGGGAACGTAAATTGTTTTCTTAGCAAGAGTTTTTAAACGGATCCTCTTTCCCAGGCTTCTTTGTTTACATGGTCTAGCATTTTTGGAGGATATTACTGTGAAATGTGGGCTATTGGGTGTTCAGGAGCTAACTGAAGATAAAAGGCAAAAACAGTGTTTAGTCTGAAGGCTGACGGTTCCTACTCACCTGGGCCATTTGGGCTGCAGTGGTACCTTTGGTGCCCAGGTACACCATGGTCAAGGAAGATGAGATGCCCCAGGGAGAAAAGAAAATATTTTTACCCTCTGCAGATTCAGCTAGCTTTTTGCTAAACTCCAGGGCAAACCGGTTGATTGATGTTGCTAGAGAGGCCATTGGGAAAACCTAAGAAAAATAAAGCAAAAGTGTTAATATTCCTTTCCATTTATTTTATTTTTCTATAAGGATTTGTTAGCTTACAGGAGTTTAGATATATCTGTGAAGTAGGCAAAATCCTCCCAAGAGGGACTATTTTATGCTCTCAAAATAGCTTTTAATTCTCTATCATAACCAAAAGCCAGTTGCCGTTGAGTTGATTCCAACTTATGATGACACCATATGTCAGAGTAGAACTGTGCTCCATAGGATTTTCAGTGACTGATTTTCTGGAAGTAGATCACCAGGCCTTTCTTCTGAGGTGTGTCTGGGTGGACTTGAACTACCAACCTTTCAGATAGCTGCCAACCAGGTTAACCATTGTACCACCCAGGGAATCTTCACTCACTAGTTAGGTGTCATTGAGTCAGTTCCGACTCATAGCAATGCTATGTACGACAAAAGCAAACGCTGTTTAGTCCTGTGCCGTCCTCACAATCATTGCTATGTTTGACCCCATTGTTGCAGCCATTGTGTCAATCTATCTCATCGAGGGTGTGTTTACTTTATCAAGAATGATGTCCTTCTCTAGGGACTGGTCCCTCCTTATAACGTGACCAAAGTACGTAAGATGAAGTCTCACCATCCTTGCTTCTGAGAAGCATTCTGGCTGTGCTTCTTCCAAGACAGATTTGTTCATTCTTCTGGCAGTCCATGGTATATTCAATATTCTTCCCCAGCACCATAATTCAAAGGCATCAGTTCATCTTTGGTCACTACTAGAAAGCCTCTGAAACTGGTTTTCTTCAGCGAGAAGACTCAGGTTTTCTCACTTTTTGATATTCAGCTTCTAAATTTTACTTCTAATTGTCCTGATATTTTAATTAAGAAGTCTTTTAAAACTGGATCTCTATCAAAGACTTAGCTAGTGTAATCTATTTCCATTTTGTAGCAAAACAATTTCTCAAATTGGTTAAATGATTAAAAATAAACTCAATTCCTAGGCTTACCCACTCCCATTAATGCCAGTG